GCCAGAGAGAAGAAAGGTTGCACTCTGCCAAACAAGCAGTGTTCAGCATTCCCCTGCTTGTTATTGCTCTCCTTAGAGGTGGGAAGGCCTTGAGCAGAGAGAAGGCTGTGCAGATGATGTAGTGCCTCCTCTTTGACCAGGCATGGTGCTGCTCAGACCAGGCGAGCAGTGCAGCACCGTTGCCAACTGGCAGCAGTAGCACAGACTTTGGGGCAGCCTACTGCTAATTTGATGACTGACAGGATCCTGGCGATTGCCCTGTCCAGCTTTTTAATGTTGGCACGCCCCAGCAATGGAGGGGAAAGGTGGAATTTGAAGAGCATTATTAAAGAGCAGCAGCTTCCCTGGGACAGAGTGGGAGGGGAAGAGGGAAGCACTAAGTCAATAACTAGGACTTTGCAGAGCAGAGGCTTTTAGCAAAAAGTTTTCTTACCCTTCCAGGGCTGGTACAAATTAACTGTCTAGCTCTGTGCTTATGTGTTGTGCCCTGGGCCACCTCCTTCCCAGTAAGTACAGCAGCTTGACAGCCGTGAAAGATTCCTTGAGGCTGTTGATTGTCATGCAGCCTCTCCTGGCTCTCTGCCATGAGTAAATACCTACGTTTAATTACCTAAGCGGTGGCTGTGACAGGTGCTACAGTACTGATGTGGCAGCACTGACAAGTTGGAGGGGGAGCATCAGCAGTGGACTTGAGGAGATGGCCTTTGCACTCCACACACAGCTTGTTTACTGAATATTTTGAGGGCCTATTTTTTTCTTTTCCTCATGCCTTACAGCCCTGCTTTCTCTGAGCCATCTTCTCCCCTGCTGAATTCAACGTTGAAGTGTCTGTGAGGTGTTGAAATGAGCTTTGGAGCATTCAGTAGATGATGTATGCCTGCCTCTGTTCAGGGAGGATGGAAAAGGCACACCAAAGAGATGACAGTAGTTGCTTCTAGTGCAGACTTTGGAAATAGAGAAGTGCAGACATAAATTACTCAACCAAATCTCTCCCCACACTTCATTGTTACAGGGATGCAGAATGGAAGCAACCAGCTGTTTCTTTAGTGAGTATTACTTTCCCTTTGTATGAGAGTCACCTATGGTGTGGAAGCTTAGCTACATAGGCAGTTTCTGGCATTTCTAGAGGAAGACTCTTTATCTTGCTGACATCTCCTGAACTCAGAGGAGAGATGGAGTCCCTGAAATGACAGAAGACTTCTGGAATCTCCTGTGAAGTGCAGGGAGATCACCAGAGACAGGGTTTTCGACAAACATGAGCACATGTCAAGCAACTGTTCTGTGTAATCCAGGCTGGGTCCTGTGGCCCTAAAGGGAAGGGACTGAAATGACATTTATATGTTTATGTTGTTACCAAGAAGAGAACAGCTTGCTATACTTACATTGCCTGTTAGGGCTTAACCTTCCATAGGGATGTTCTGAAGCTCCCACTCCTCAGACTTCACAGTGTTTACAGTTAGAGAAACATACCGTTCAAAATTCTATTTCAGAACAGCATCTGGAAACAGATGTAACTGCCAACTTCATAAAATGCTGAATAGCCAGCCACATCTAATGGTGTGGCTATGTGTTATTGAATTAGTAGTGTAGTGATACTAAGAGCAAGTTTGACATTGCTTATGGTGAAGAGCCTGAAAGATTGCTGTGACTGCTGGCAGTGATTATGGGCTGATAGTGTGATGCGATACATCTCTCCTAAATGAAAATGCCACCCTATTAAAAATAAACTCTCCGGAGGCTGTGGTAGTGTGTGGTGGGCACCTTAAAGATTAGTGTACTTCTACAACAGTGGTTCTAAACTGGTTCCTGAACCCTTGGCCATCAACATCGCTGTTACACATGGCCTGCAACTAGTCTGTGGACCAGCCCTAAGGAAAGGGAACTGGTGAATTATCAACTTTATGCATTTGTATTGCTAGTTTTAAGAGTGTTTGAGGGCTGGCAGCAGTGTCTTGACCTAGAAACTGGAGAATTGTGTTAGTGTAGGATACTTGTAGTAACTTGATTGTTATTCCTAGAAGTTTAGAATTACAAAACATGGACAGTACCACTGGCAAAGAGGCGTTGTCACTTTCTGGTTTGTTTTGGTCACACTCTGGTATGTTTTCAGGCTGGCTACTTGGTTGTAATATCTCAGTAACTTTTTATAAGATTTAGCAATGGAAGCAAAAAGACAAAAAAAAAAGGGGGGGGTGGGAATAGCTTTGATCTACAGAGAATGCTTCCTGGCATGCTTCGGACCCTCTTTGAAGAGAGAGACCTGCTGATGTTGAAGGAACTTTTAATTTATTTTTTTTCACTCTCTGGGTAGAGTAGGGGGTCGTGCTAATGGGTGTGATTGCAACAGAGAGTTTGTGTGACTACATTAGGTTGATTCGCTGGGTCCTGGTTACTGCTGCGAGTGGTGATTATGCCAGTACAGCTGCTTTCTCTTTTTGCGTACTAATTACCACACGCACGGATGTCACCACCCTTAACACTGCATGGAGTTGCCCCATTAGTGTGGGAGTGGGAAGCAGCAGGGGAGGAGAGCTCTTCAGCATGACAAGTTGTTCATAAGTGAATGGAGTGGCGTGATGAAGCAACTATTCTTAGGCAGAATTTTTAAGCCATCTTGTCTTTGAGATTCTGCCCTCAGCCAGCGTTTTGCAGGTTGTCAGGACTAGACCCATGTCCTTGGCAGCACTTTCTATGGGGTCCTATTTACTGCAAAGGACCTGGATGCTCAGCTGTAGCAAGCAAGTCTCCCCCCTTGGCATGGCCAGTTGTGGAGCCTGTGGGACAATGCTGTGCAAAGTGACCTGCCAGTAGAGGAGAGGTGATGGGTAGCTCAGGAAGGCAGCTTTTCTAGCTGTGATCATTGCAAAGCAATTCTTGGGAGAAGAAAAACCATTTGTTTCTGACTTGACAAAGAAGAGTATGATGGAAAACCCTTGCAGTTCTTGTGAGATTGGGAATGTTTATTTTATGAATTTATGCTCCCAGCTCTGGCGGACCCCTCCCTTTCCCCTCCTTCCTCCTCCTCAAAATCCAGTCTCCCTTCTCAGAGTGCACCATAATCTCCATGGTAACAGGTCTTACGATCTTACATCTGTTTTGGGTGGGGAGGGAAGGGGACAGACATGGCAGAGGTGGGTAAGAGCTAAATAAACCCCTAAGGGGCCTGTTCCTTCCATCTAAACACAAGCTTCTATGGCTGAGTGATAGCCAGGGCAGAGTGACCAGCTTCTGTTATACAGAGAAATCCTTAAGGATGTTTTATTCTCTAATGTGGCCTCCTCCTCGGAGAGGTTGAATGTGTTACTGATGACAGGAAATAACACTGCTCTGACTTTGTTTGCATTATGATGGTCAAGATTAAGGTTCTGGATACTAGGTATTGGAGGGCATACAGTTAAGTGGTCTCTGCCTTGGACTTCTCAAGTTAAATTGTCCAACAAACAAGATGTGGAGTGGGCAGTAGAGCTACAAAGAAAAACAGCCCCAGTTTCTTATGCTAGCTGATGAGTCCCACCCTAATGAATTCTAATTATTACTTCAGGCCACCTCAGCAGTGCAGTAGTGGTTGATCTGCATTCCCATCTACCTTAATCCTATTGGACAAAGCATTGTCATTCCCTTCCCTGCTTCCTAGTCCAGCACCACCTCCTTTTCTGGGGAGTCTAGAGGAAAGGTTTGTGATTGATAGATGGTTACCCACCGGAAAATCTAATTAAAACTTATCTTTCACTTAGGGCTTATCCCACTGAAAGTGTAGATTCAAAGTCTGTGTTACCTGCAGTGATTACAGGTTTGAATCCTAGGTAAATTTCTGCAGAAATCCTGTTAATGATTTGGGCTTTTAAAAGCAGTCTTCGGTCCTATCCTTCTGAAGCCACAATGGAACAAGTTCTGATGACTTAGTACACTGAAGCAGCTTGTCCCTGTTTATTCCTGGTAGCCAAACCAACTCGTTACCCCTCTTTCTGCTTCACATGCTGTTGTTTTTTGTGATCTATATGTATCATATTTTTTTGGCTAAACAGAGTGTTGTCAGTATGCCCAGTTCTGGTTGCTGGATGGCTGGGTGAAGGAAAGCGTTGTGCTGTACAAAAGACATTTTGGAAGTAGAAGGCGAGTGTACACATAGGTATAATCTGTTCCACTTCATTGTTCTTGATTTTCAAGCTCATATGCTTCAGAAACAAAGCTAGTGCAGACTAGAAAGCAGAGCTTGCTATTGGTCCTTTGTGTGCACAGGGTTTTCATTTACCTACATTATTGCAGCATTTGGGAAGCACTCGCTTATAGCCGTGCTGACTACCTGCAGTCTTAGGAGCTCTTCAGCTTCTTGCCTTACTGCAGGTTAAATGGATGATGTTGGAAGGGCACCTGAAGTGAGGGTTTTGTTACTTGCATACTTGTGTTACTCTCATAACTTAATTCTCTGGATTTTTATTTTCCTTTGTGCACTGTTGATGTGGGTGTTGGTCAAACTCTGAAACATTTTTAAACATGTTTAAAAAAGGAAAGAATAGTATATTCCTTTTGCATAAAGTTTGGTTCGCTAAATAGAACCAATAAACTTTTCATGCTGAAAGCCCACGTACTTACCAGTTTCCTGTTCCACCCTAGTGAGTTGAGAGGTGAAGGCCAGGAGAGTGCCAGTTGTCCTGCTTCCTAATGACTATACCACTTGTCCCCGTCACTGTGTTTAATTAGTTTGAATAAAAGGACTGTGCAGTCCACTGAATGGCATGTAGAATCTCCTGGGGGCAGAATTTCTTCTGCTCTGCAGCTGTGTGCCAGTCAGTCTATTAAACACTTAGGGGCATATGTATGTGCGTTTCTAGCAGCTGGTTACTCTTGCTGCTGGATTAATGGTTTCTTGCAACATCCTGTGAAGTGACACATCTCCTTGGTGAGCTATGCTGCTGCAGCGGGACTGAACGTTTCTTTGAGCCTCCTTGGCTCTCCTGCCTTGTATTGTTCTGTCAAGTAATCTCCTGTTGTTGTTTCAGAGAGTTTTCAACGTTCTGTACCCAATGCCTGCCGACCAGAGAAGACATGTCAGCATAAACTCTGCTCGCTGGCTGCCTGAGCCAGGACTGGGATTGGCGTATGGCACCAACAAAGGGGACCTGGTGATTTGCCGACCAGAGTAAGTGCTTGCTTTATGTGGTGATACAACTGCTTTGGTTTGTCTGTTCTTAAGGCAGTGGGGATAAGATGTCTTTTTCACTGCCTGTGGCATTATCCTTGAGGGACCCAAAAAACCCCACTCCTAATACTCCTTTTGGACTGCCCCAGTGTTTACCCGAGTCCCTTAGAATCAGTGTTTGTTTTGCTGACTAAAAACCTCTGAGGCTGTTTGAAGTGCATCTCATCAGCTCATTTTATTTTCCATGTCTTTCTAGGCTTTCTGGGTCCTTTGTTTCACATATGTCTAGTGCAGTGTCTTTCAGTTTCTCTGAATTTGGAAACGTTTCGAAGTCCATAATGAGAACAGCAAATTTGAGCTGTTAGTGATATGCTTGCTTTCCTCAGCTTTCACTGACCCCTTGGAGTCCACCAACCAGGTTGAAAACTGCTTGCCTGGAGATACCAAATACTTGTTACAGTATTCAAGCAGGAGATTCTATGAACTGCAAAGGTTTTCTTCATGATTATGAGCAAGACTGAATTGTTTTGGTCCTGACTTGAAAGCCCAATGATGTGACGTGTAGACTTTATCGGTCTTTTATTTATACAGTGCCACAAAGGGTGTAACTGTCCCTTTGTAAACTTGTGATTAAACACAAGCTAATTTGGATGTGGTATGGCACAGATGATGACTTAAGTGTCTAAGCAGTGAAACATGTATTGCTTTCAGTGTTCTTGGGTGAAGGGAACAACTCTGTACCATACTTTGTTGATATCCTTTTCTCCATTGTGTTGTGCAAGTGCTTCTTTTGGAACAATATTTCTTAAATGCTGCAGGAACGCTTCATGGAGTTCTCTGTTTCACTTTTTTCCTGGTACTAAACTACCTGGGTATTCTTTTGGGTTATGCTTCACATGTTGAAGTACCTTGTAACTTAAAAGCTGGCAACTAGAAACTTGCAGCACTGCTGGCGCTCTTACCACATGCATGTGGACTCCGTCTGTTGTGCATGAGATCAGACATGTGGTGCTTGAGGAGAGTCATATGGTCAGTGTAGAACCACTACCTTAAATCAGAATAAATATATACAATTGTAATAGTGACTAATTCAGTACAGCCTTCTGGTGAAATCTGTGGTTGGAATTCAGATTGGACCAATTTCAGCAGTACAGAATGCCAGCTCTTTTCAAACAGCCCTCTTGTTCTCTTGAACATAATCTTTCATCAAGGCCTTATTTATACATGAAGTTCTACAAGATATTATTATGGAATAAGCTATAATCACTCTCTTCCAAGATAAGTGGCTTTCTTCAAGAATAGTTGCTGTACTTTCTAAGCAGCAGAATTATTCACGAATAATGGCTCTCTTCTCCAACTTGAGAGTTACTCTGAGTTATTTTCAGTACAGAGAAGTGATAAAATCTCATCTACTGATTATGGCTTATGAGGTGAACTTGGATTAGAACCCAGGGAAATGAAGCCTCCCTGGGAGTGGATGTCTTGATTGAATGCTGCAGAGTTGAGCTTGGTCTGGCTGTCTTGGCTTGCCACACCATTCTGGTGCTTGCAGTAGCCCCAAGCGAAGTGGTGTGTCTCTTCTTGGCATCTCACTAATTAAAGGCACAGCAGGAACACTTTCATGGTATGTTATGGAAGCACTGTTAGTCATTCTGCAGTATCTCTGTGAAACCTTTTTAGCTAGGGCACTCTTATCTCCTTACTTCTGTCCCAGCAACACATCATGCACAATTCCAACAAAACCAAACTTCTTATATACAAACATGAAATAAGGTGGCTATAGAGGTGGGAGCTTTATTGGTAGTTTGACAGAAATGCTTCAACAGGTTTCCTGCTGGTGGATTGAGGTGACCAATGCTTCTGGTGATTATTGCAGACCTCACATGGACTGGTGGGTTCTTTTTGGAGCAGGACACTTGATATGTTCTGTTCTCAACTGCACGATTTTATAGATCAACAACAGCCAGAATGACTTATAAACCTCTGCACAAAGGTGTAGATATTCACCAAGCTGAATAATTTGCATTAAGGCTCTAACATCAGAACACACAAATGAGTGAGGCTCTGTCAGAGCACAAGTGGCTTGCAGCTGTGATGTCTGCCCCAGATCTACTTGGAAGATCCTCAGAGAAAGGAAAAATCCTAAAATGTAGATGCCATCTCAGTAGTTCTTGGCTTAATAGACTTGGTTTGAGGTTGGTGTGTCCATTGACTTTAACTTGAGAAGTGAGGGAGAAAGGTGAAAAATATTTGTGTAATTTCCATACGCAGTAACACAGAGGAAGAGAAATACTAAATAGAGTATTCTGCAATTGATAGAATGGTATATACAATTGATAGCCTAGCAAACA